GTTAATGTGTGATATTTTCACCTCCTTCCCATGATCACAATGCTCTTAATGGCCATCCTAGGGCATGGTGAACCTTTCCAGAAAGATTTTATCAATTTACTTTGCCCAGATCCATCATAGGAATTGTATCTATGCGCCGCCATGGACTTTCAAAACATATTTCTTAAATATGACTTGAAAGTCAAAGTAGTTCTTGATCCACTGGCTATGGAAATATTTTGTGTTTAGCAGGCATGAAACAACATTAATCTCCTCTTAGCATCTCGATCAGAGCTATAGGGTGACTAGGTGCACTATAATGATCAGTAATTTTTTTTTTTTTTTTTTTTTGAGAGGAGTCCTCGCTCTTCACCCAGGCTGGATGTGCAGTGGCACGATCTCGGCTCAGCTTGCAGCTCCGCCTCCCGGTTTTACGCATTACTCCTGCCATCAGCTCCGGAGTAGCCTGGACTACAGGTGCCCCGCCACCAGGCCGGCTAGTTTTTGTATTTTTTCATTAGGACGTTTCACCGTGTAGGCCAGGATTTGGTCTCGATCTCCTGACCTCGTGATCCGCCCGTCTCGGCCTCCCAAAGTGCTGGGATTACAGGCTTGAGCCACCGCGCCCGGCCTATTTTTTTTTTTTTTAAATGGAGAGTGAGTCTTGCTGTGTTGCCTAGGCTGGTCTCGAACTCCTGGCCTCAAGTGATTTTCCTGCCTTGGTCTCCTTAAATGTTGCCTGTAATCTAGTGATTACAGGCATGAGTCACTGTGCCCAGCCTGCAATAATATTTTGATAGGAATCTTTTTTTCTGAGGGGTAGGTGTCAAGAGTGAGCTTAAAATATTCAGCGAACTGTAGGGTAAACAGATATGCTGTCACCCAGGCTTTGTTGTTCCCTTTATGGAAAACAGGCAGAGTAGATTTAGCATATATATATCAATATATATTTTTAAAGAGACAAGATCTCTCTCTGTTGCCCACACTGGAGTGCAGTGGCATAATCATGGCTCACCGTAGCCTTGACCTCCCAGGTTCAAGTGATCTTCCTGCCTCAGGCTCCTGAGTAACTGAGACTACATGTGCAACTAATTTTTGTGTTTTTTTGTAGAGATAGGGCTTTACCATGTTGCCCAGGCTGGTCTCAAACTCCTGAGCTCTAGTGATCTACGCAGCTACCTTGGTGCGTCCCAAAGTGTTGGGGGTTACAGGTGTGAGCCAGCATGCCTGTCTCGACAGTTTTTTTTTTTTTTTTTTTTTATCACTTTAAATGTATTATCCCACTGCCTTCTGGCATCCAAGGTTTCTGCTGAGAAAATGGCCAATAGTTTTTTTTTGTTTTTTATTTATTTATTTATTTTTTTTCCAGAGTGATTGGACTTCAGCTGATAGTGTTATTGAGGATCACTTGTACATTATGAGTTGCTTCTCTCTTGCTGCTGTCAAGATTCTCTGTCTTTCAACAGTTTGATTATAATGTGTCTCAGTGTGAGTCTCTTTGGATTTATTTTACTTGGAGCTTATTGAGATTCTTGGATTTGTAGATTAGTGTCTTTCATCAAATTTGGGAAGTTTTCAGCCATTTCTTCAAATAATCCTTTTGCCCCTTTCTCTATCTCCTCTTTGGGAATTGT